TTTACATGTGTGATAATAGCCATTAACAGCGTTAGAGTTTAATAAACATAAAAGATTAATTAACGAATATTAATGTAATGAATTTAATTTACAAATATCTTTTTCATTGAATCTGAGTTGGTTACAGGAGGAAGTAAGGAAGAAGACGACTGGGGAAATTATTGATTTATAATAATAATTATTTTTTTTAATCTTCTAGGCTTTTTCTTTTCGAATTTTATTATATTTTTATATCAATTTAAAAATACATTATTTCTCTATTAAAATATATATATAATAAAACGTTAGTAATTAAGATGATCATATGCGGAGGAGCATCGGCCATCTCGAATAACATAAATTTACGTACGCACGTGGGCGGCTGCTTACAGTTTTGGAGAATGAAGTAATGGCATTTGTTCCGACGACAAATACAAAAGTTTCGAGCTGTGTATATTCCATTTTCTTTAATCGATTATTACGAACTGTGTTTGGTAAAACTGATACCTGTATATATATATATATACGTAGGAATTATATTAGGTTAGCAAGTGGGCTTAATTTTTTTTATTTTTTTTAAATTAAAAAAGGGTACAATGAATGTGGGTGCATGATTTAAATTGTTGCGGTACAATTTCATTAATTATATAAACTAAAATTTTAAATATTCATCCAATTTTCAACCATCACTATTATAGCTTTGGAATAATCAATTAATATTTGTTGAATAAACTCATAAGGTCCACAAAATACCCAATTTCTCTGATTTCATTTCCACCCAATTACATATATATATTAACTAAAGATTTTATTTGTACATTTATTTTTATCACCCACTATTAATTCATTAATTTCATTTTATTTCCCAATTGCCAATTTCTTTTTTCTTTCTAATACCACTTTCTATTATATATATATATATATATATATACATATAGTTGTTAATTTAGACCAGTAAAATGCGTGTTTCTTTAGATTATTTGACTTTTATGTACTTGTTAAGGAAATAATCGACTTTTATTCGTGTGTGTGTGTGTGTGTATATATATATATATATATGTGAAGAAGCTAGCCATACCCTTTTTTTCTTTTTGAGGAATATAAAACAACCCATTATTGGCCTAAAAAGTTAACTTTAAAAAAAATTATTTAAACACTAATATTTTTAATACTAGCTTGAATTTAATGTATAATACACTAGCTATTATGTAATGTAATGTAATGATATGTACATATTATGGGGGGGGGGGGGGGGGAGGGGGGGTGATCATTTAACATTAATTTTTGTAACAATAATGATATATATATATTTTTTGGAATTAATATTTGTATATTCTTTTCTAATATAGTTAAAAATAAACTAATTTATATTAGACTTTAAAAAAATTTATAAAAGTATATATGTTATTGTACATTAATTTTTTTTAATGAACTAACAAAGGGAGTGATGTTTTGAAATTTACTAATTAATGTTAAAACTTTATATGTATTCGAGGTGATCAAATTAATTATTTTGGTTTTGAAGTAAGTAGGAGTTTCATTCGGTGTCTTTATCACTTTAATTTGTTTCATATTCTTTAGTATAGCTAGAGGATAAAATGACACCATAATCTTATTTATATATTCTTTAATTAGTGATTAATTAAATCTAATTTATATATCTCTACACACACACACACACACACACATATATATATATATATATTGTAGTGCTAACTTTTAATTTTATGCTAGTGGGGATTGAATGCATATCTTTTTGACTTTGGGACTTTGCATCAACATCCCCTTCATCATTTACTTAATTAACTTTCTTCGCTCTCTCTAATTGCTAATTAATGTTGTCATTAACTTAATAAATCTTTTTAAATATACGATCTAAAAAGTTGTTGTGATCTTTTAATCATTAAAAATATTGAAGGACATTTGGAACTTTCTAGATTGATTTGCTTTTCTTTTTTCTTGAAATAGTATTAATTTAATTAATGAATTTCAGCTATTTTTAAAAATAATTTATTTCTTTTTTTAAAAAGAGTAAATTATATAGTAATTGTAAGGTATAATACTTTTTTTTTTTTTTCTCTTCCAGAATTTAAAAATAAAGGTTTATGGATAGATACAGTTGTGTATATTATTAGTAAATATAGGATGAGGGACGACAGGGACCCCACAATTAAAAAAGAAATAATATAGGGATGTGGATGCCACGCGACCACAAGCTGGGGATGTGAGAGTGATGTAAAAAGAAAGACGAAGACTATAAATAGGATGGAGCATTGAGCTCTCAACTACATGGTTATTGATTATTTTTCATGGGTTTCTTTTAAAATATAAATATCTAATATATTTTTCATTCCATTAAAAGAAAGAAGATATTTTTCATTCTAAAAAATTCACAAGTGAAATGTTCCTAATTAATTTTTATATTAACAACACTGATAATGATAATGACAATTATAATAATGATAAAAATAGCAACAATGATGTTAGTACCTACAATAACTATCGTCGGACTAGTAACTCTTAACTTCTATCAATAATAATGGTAGTAAACTACACTATAAAGTAGGAGCTGATGAATTTTATTGGGGCAAGTCTTCTAATGGTAAGTTTACAGTTAAATCAGTGTATAATATGTTCATTGATATTTCTTCTTTTGATACTGATAGCAAGTGGGACTTGGCGTGAAAGTGGCCGGATATTTAGTGGATTCGTCATTTTCTGTGACTCTTCCTGAGAAGAAGTCTGCTTATGAATAGTGAATGTTGTCGTTGGCATCTGACAGATGAGGAATGTTGTGAGGTTTGTGGGCTCGGGATTGAGGACTTAAGCCATGTCTTAAGAGACTGACATTAAGCGAAATATTTTTGGTTGAGCTTCATCCCTCATGCGGATACATTCTCCTTTTTAAGTTCCAACTTTGAAGATTGGGTTATGAATAACCTGCAGAGCAAGTGGAACTCGTGCTCAACTTACAGGGACTGAAAAATCATCTTTGGCATTGTTTGTTGGTCGATTTGGAATCAACGAAACTATTTCATCTTCCAAAGAAATCCAGTAAGCTTAAATGAGATGAAGCAGATTATTTATAAGATTATAGATTATATATTCGGGTCACTTCGATTGCAGATATTATTAATGATTCTTTGAGCACAAGAGAAGAGAAATTCATTAGCTGGACGACACCTCATCCTAACGGATAAAAATCAATACTGATAGTGCTTTCAAGCCTAACAACAATATGGCCTACATCGGAAGCATTAGGAGGGATGATAATGACACATGTCATGGAAGCTTTGACCGAAATATTGGCATCTTCTCGGTTTTTTAAGCAGAGCTTTAAGGGGCGCTTGATGGACTTGAACTGACATGAAATTTAGGTGCACGTAAAGTGATCCTAGAAATGGACAGCAGTCTTGCCGTCCACGTGCTCAACAAAGTACATAATAAAAAAGTCGTCCATATCAATGCTAACTCTTACTTGACGCATGCTATATTGACTTGGCTGGAGAGGAACAGAAATTAAAATACAACATGTTTATGAGGGAGGAAGCAAATGTGCTGATCTGTTGGCCAACCAAGCTTTCTCGTCCCCACTTGGGTATCATCTTCATCTTTCCACCACCTACCACTCTTCTTGACATGATAAAAGTCGACTTCACCGATGCTTTCTGGCTCAGAGTTTGTCAAACCTAAGAGTCATTTGTTTGCTTTCGTTTTACACTTTTTATATAAAAAAATAGTAAAAGTAATATATAACAAATTTAAATACTAAGTAGAAATGTGAATAATAAGTATGACAAGTAGAGTATTGATAGTTATTTTTAACTTTATTTACTTATATATAATTTGTTTTATAAATTAAATATGGTGTTAATAGTACGAGGATTAGTTATGACTACCACATACAAAAGTTATAATATAATAATATAAACTTTAAGCTCTACAAGGTTAAGTTCTTTATTATTGATAAGATTTTGTTTTTCTTATTGCCGTTATCATGTATTTAAGTTTTAGTTGTTAAATATCTTGTCCGCGTACTATACAAATGTCACTTGCACTAATTTTCACTTTCCAACGTATCATTACCATTTTCTTTTTTGTGTTATATAAACAAGAGGGAGGCACGTGCTGAATGAAGAAAGAAAAGAGGAGCTTCCGAGAATCAACAAAGACTAAAGGAGGATACGCCCCCATGGAGATGACTGGTTCACTCAATTCAAATTTGATGCCTGTACCTCCCTCTCTCTCTCTCTCTCTAAAACGAATTATTAATTCATAAAATCTTAATTAATGCAATTAAATAAACTCTTCATCCTGCCTATAAATCTCCTCCATCTTGCCTTGTGGTGAGCACACACACCCACACTCTCTCCCACACCTCTGAAAAACCAATCAGCCATGGCGGCTTCTGCTGCATATTTACTCTTGCTCGCATCTCTCTTAGCGGCTCCTTTCCTGTGTCTGTCCGAAGTGGACCTGTCCTCTGTGCCTATCAAGGATGGTCTTTCATGGACTTTCTACAAGCAATCTTGTCCCAAAATTGAGTCCATTATCAGAAAACAGCTCCAGAAGGAGCTCAAGAAGGATATCGGCCTTGCTGCTGCCTTGCTCCGTATCCATTTCCATGACTGCTTCGTTCAGGTAACATTTCTTCTCTCACTCGTTTTCCTCCAACGCCCATTTAGCTTCACAGAAATTAATCACGACCCAGATAATTATATATGTCAATCGTTAAAGCTGATTAGCTGAATTTAACTCATGATCAAGAGCTTTATGATGACGAGCTTTATGAAGTGGTATACGTAAATATTTGCAGGGTTGCGATGGCTCGGTGTTGCTATCTGGATCGGCGGGCGGACCGAGCGACGAGCAGGCGACGCCGCCCAATTTGAGCTTGAGGAAGGAGGCGTTCAAGGTGATCAACGATCTTAGTGTGCGGATTCAGAGGCAGTGTGGGCTCGTTGCCTCTTGCTCCGACATCGCGGCTCTCGCTGCCCGCGACTCTGTTTTCCTGGTAATTAATTCACTTACTACCCATTCATCTCTTACTCCCTTCATAATATATGAAAAACAAAAAAAAAAATTATATAATTATATAATTATGTGATCAAACAAATAAATTAAAGAAATTAACCAGGACTTTTTATTTTCTTCATTTGTGGAACCTCATACGTTGTCGTTTTGCAATAATAACTACTAAAAACAGTTTTAATTCATGTAAATATAGAATAATATCTATCCATCAAGTTGCTAAATTTATAGAATATTTGAAAACATTGTCAATCCAAAATAGGGCATATCGCAATCGAGGTGTGATTTTTGGCATCTAGCCACTCGTGGCCATTGATTTTGTCAATTAATTAGGTAACAAATTTTTTACTGTATATTTGTTTGTGCTGTCGGTGGCCATATAATATATATATATATATATATATGTTCCTAAGTGTTTATTTGCATTTATCCTGTGACAGATATTTTCTTGTACTGAATTTAAATCAAACTCGTGAATTTCAAGATAAAAACTTATGTTATTATTATTTTTATTTACTAAAAAATTTCACATATAATAAATAAACACGTTACTTTTAAATTTTTATTGAAAAATGTGACAAAGGTACCATGGATCATTATTAAATAAATAATTGTAATTTAGATTTTATGCGTTCTTAAATAATTAAAAGGGAGGCTTGCTCTTGTCTATAATTTTATTTTTATTTTTAATATAAGAGATTTGACTGGTTATCTCTAAACGCATGTGCATTAATTAAGACATCATATATATGTATATATGTAAAATGATACTTTTATTTTTGTTAAAGCTTATAAATATATTGTAATTCGTAAACAAGTTTAGGAGATTAAAATGATGATAATTAGTTAATATATGTATGTATATATATATATATGCATATGTTTTGCAGTCAGGAGGCCCTGATTATAGTATCCCACTGGGAAGGAGAGATGGAACCACGTTCGCATCATTCGACGCAACAATGGCAAGCCTGCCGCCACCTTTCGCCAAAACGGGCCGACTGATAGAAATGTTCGCCGTCTTTGACCTGGACACCGTCGACATGGTAGCCCTTTCCGGCGGCCACACCATCGGAATTGGCCACTGCGCCGGCTTCGTCCCTCGTCTATTCCCAACACAAGACCCCACCATGGACAAGACCTTAGCCAAAAAGCTCAGAAACATCTGTCCCACAACCAACTCCACCAACTTCACTGACCTCGATATCCGCACCCCCAACATCTTCGACAACAAGTACTACCTCGACCTCATGAACCGCCAGGGACTCTTCACGTCCGACCAGGACTTGTTCATTGACCAGAGGACCAAGGGTTTGGTGATCGAGTTCGCCGTCAACCAAAACAAGTTCTTTGAGAAGTTCATCATTGCCATGGTCAAGATGAGTCAAATTAGCGTCTTGACGAGGAGCCAGGGGCAGATTCGGGCCAATTGTTCTCTTATCAATTCCCGCTACACTGGAGATGATCACTTGGTGTCTGTTGTGGATGCCGAGAAGGAGGAGGTGGCCGGTTCAGGTTGGTCCAGGTTTTAATGCGGTGTGCGTATTAGATGTGTATTTACTATTATAACTCTTGTCGTTTTGGGGCGGGGGGGTGGTGGCAGGAAGTTGGCTTTATGGCTGTCTCGTGTTTTGAATAACAAAATTGCCACTCTTATGGGATACAATTGAAGTCCAATGTTTTGATTTTAAATTTTTTATAACTTCCCAAAAGATTCATAGGATATTAAAATATAAAAAATCTATGCATTTATTAATATAGTTATAAATATAACTACAAAATTTTTAGTATGTTAAAACCAATCTTTATATTTATTAAGTATGTTACAGTAAAAATTTTCATAACTTAATTTTTCAAAAAAGTTAAAACCTTGAATTTAGTTCATAAATTAACATTTAATTATTAATAAATTATGAAAGTTCCAAAAAATAATAATAACTTATTCGAACAATTAGGTGGGAAATAAGATATTGGGCAGGGCATTAAATGTCAAAATTAATTCTCAGCTGCCTTTTTTGTCTGTTTCTTTAATTAATTAATTAATTAATATTATTGTGAAATGTGAACCTAACACATGAGAAATTTATTTTTAACTGCAGCCCATATTTATTACCACTCAGTCAAAAGCAAATTCATTATACCAACATCTATCTCGTCGAAGTGAATTTTATTTGTTTTTATCTAATTAATGCATGCGGTAGTATTTAAATAAAGTTATTTAACGAGTTAAATGAGACGTTAATCAAGTTTTAATTATAAAACAAAGTTAGCCAAGAGTTGCTCTATAAATTTTATTATAGTTTATATATAAGCTAAGGGTTATACATTCTTTTAATTAATAATCACATTTTCTATCGAAACGTGAACAAAAATTAAATTAATATAAGAATATAATCTTATTTCCACAATTATGGAGTAGTAACGAGAAATGGGCTGCCTCCTGATCCAAGCGTCCTTTATTTTTCATATTTCTATTAAATATATATATGAATATAATTATTATTTTAAAATTCAAACATATTTTTAATCTCTTTATTGTTTATTGTTAATTTAATTTAACTTTTGTGTTAATTTTGTATTATTATAATATCTATATTTTTAAAATAATATTTAATTTAATCTCTCTCCATCTTTAGTACTTAATACCATTAATATTTATATTATGTATCATCAAAATTTAATACCTAAAATTTTCATATTAGCTGTCACATTTTGTCTAACTTGATACTTTTATTTTTCTGTATTAACTTAAACAGATTTAATTTCTTTCCATATGTACCATCAAAATTAATACATAAATTTTTTTATTATTATATTAGCTGTCACGTGACACTTATTTTTTTTCAATTTTATTTTGAACCGATTTAATTTTTTTTAGAAAAATGCAAATCTCCAATTTTTTAAATTTTTAAAAAAGAATGCATATTGAATTGCAAATTGGCAATCATCCAAAGTGCTACTGGTAATTGATGATTCTTTTTTTTTTTTTTTTTTATATTTTTGAAATGTTGAGTTAATTGGATAAATAAATATTTTAAAAGTTACATTAAAAATTACTTTATTTAAAAAAAAAAAAAAAAAAAAACCCATGGGGCTTATTGTTCAATAATGTCATAACCCAAAAACCAATTAACAAATATGTCTGGGCCAATTAAAGCTCATCTAATTTATTTCTCAAATCTAAAAAAGATTTGCTGAATATTCGATTCGAACAAGGAACGGGCAAGATGGAAATGGAAATCAACGGTCCTGATCATTCGAATGAAGAGATAACGATGTCCAACAATTACACACCAGATGGTGGCTGAAATTGAAAAATAAAAAATTAAAAAAAAAAAAGGGGCTGAAGATAATGTCCATAAAACAAGGAAGGCCCACAATAACACTAATAGCCTCCGTATCCGTAGTGGAAGCTGACGCTCCTTGCTTCTAAATAAACACCAAAGTGGGAGTATACCAAATTATTATGATTAAATATTTATATTCACACTTGTTATTATTATTATTATTTTTTATTTAGCATTTAAGAATGGTTCAGTCTGTAATGATTTTTTATAGAATATGCCTGAATTAAAAAAAGTGAATAATCTATTATATACCAATTAAATAAATTAAATTACTCCATATATAATAAGTTGGGGTTGATATCAGCAGTCCGCCAGATTAAAGAAATCGAATAATTCAAGTGCGCTAAAAAATGGACTCAACACTATCTAACCATTATTTATATTATGAATAAATTTTATTATTAGATTTTATTTGAGATTACAAAAAGGAGCAATGGGCCATCCCGAATTCTATCAAGTCCAATCCCGCAATTAAAACCTGTAAAAGACAGGTGGACCCCTACCTCGTAGAGCGGGGTCCATGCTCTTCACGTGAACTCGATTGCGCCACCGTTGATGATGGCATGCAACGGAACCTGGCCCCACACTCCCACTGGTCCTCATGATTCCCCGCACCACCTTGACAAAGCATCGCTCCAACATCACACATGGTCTGCCACCACACCCGATCATCATCCATCCCCTCTCCACAAATTATTATTTAAAATTTCATCATTGATCTCAATATATATATATATATTAAATAAAAGTTTTAAATTTCATATTTTTATGGTTATAATTTAAAATTTTATTTGTTTTGGTAAAAATAATCATAATACATATATATCAGTTAATAATTTAATTTTCATAAGAAATTGAATCATATTTACTAATAAGATAAAGTAGATTTATTTTTATATGTAATTAATTTTACCAACGGGCAATAATTAATACAATAATCACGGGACTTACTTTCTCTCATTTTTTTTTGCATGGGTCAAAATCAAACTTTATTGACGTGGGAATGAAAATTTACATATATAATAAATGCCAAGGCAGCACGAAGAGAGAAACCAAAGCAAACAAAATAAAAAGAGGCATCAAATTAGGGTTCCACAGCAACTCTGATTTTCTGATCGATCCATTCATGGTGATAAGAATGGAGAAAAGCAAGTCGTACTTCGAGTATTCTTCTTCATATTCGGGAGAATTCGGGTACCGAAATCACCCCTCGAATTCATACAACTTCAACGGCCCATGCAGCAAAGAAAACGGGTTTACTACATCCAACGACCCAGAGCTCAAGAGGAAGAAGAGAATCGCCTCTTATAATGTCTTGACGATGGAGGGAAAGCTCAAATCCTCCGTCAGAAGCAGCTTTAAGTGGATTAAGAACAAGTTCACTGCGTCCAATGAACATGTTCGCTATGGTCTGTGACTGTGAGTTTTAACTAATTAGTCGCACATATACATATATATTATATACATGTTGTACGTATATGATTCGTGCCGTGTTTGGCGAATTTATATAAGCGAGGGAGGGGAGAGAGAAGTTTTATCTTGTCGCAGAATTAAGCACCAAACAGAGCTTGTCATGGTTGTTGATGAGTTTTTTTTTTTTTTTTTTTTGTTTTTAATTTTGAGTTATTTGTTTGCATGGAAAACACAATATGAATATATGATCTGATGCTTGCAATACGAACTAATTAATCAAAACATAGATCTTAATTAGTTTTTTAATCCTAATTATTCATTTACTTAATTAATTTTAGTTAATAAATCGAATTGTGATATTAATTATATTTAAGTTTTTAATAAATTAATTACATCTAAACTAATAACTGTCTCACCTTACACGTATATTTTGTAATAACATATATTTTTGCTAATGCTTAATTATAATACGTTAAATTAGGAGTGAGTGGTTTATGTAAAAGCTGATAAATTATTTTACCTATGAGTTCTTCATTACAATATAACTTCTTGAACATGTAAAAAAAATTATCCGAAAACTTATAAAAAAATTTCCTTACTAAACAATAAGTTTAACCTATATATACATATATATATATATATATAGCATTACATATGGGGTTGTCATATTCTTTACATGTGAAATATTTATTCATGATGGGTGATAATTTACAAAGCAATGTAATATATAAAAGTCAATTTTATTTAGAAGCAAATTAAATTACAAAATAATGACAGTGGGAATTGAAAATGGTTGTGACTATAGATTTAGATGGAATTTAGAACACATTATATTAATTTAATCTAAAATTTAAAATTTAAAATAAGATTTCCTACCATGATAAATAAAATTTATTTATTTCAAATTTACCCTATAAAAACTTTCGTTTAGATTTTTTAGAAAAATATGATTTTTTTTTTTGAAAAAAAGAAGAAGCATGGGATCACTAAATTAATGTTTTGTTTGTAATTGGGGTCATGTCACGATTGGGTTGGGTTGCAGTTTTCAGATTTTAGGTCACATTCAATGTGAAAAAGTTCAAATAAAAGTGGCATTATTGAGATAAGAAATCATATATATTTATATATATGCTTACAAATGGATCACTACAAATCACAAAAGCACAAAATATTTTCTTTTATACCCCTCATATTAGTTTGTTTTAAAACGAAACATATGATTTATTTTATGATCTTTAACTAGTTTAAGATTTTATAATTAAATATGTAAATCATTATGTTACTTAATAATAATAAAAAGGTCTGCTATATACTTAATTTTTTGACAAATTTTTTTAAAATATTATTTTTCTACGAATAAATAAATATATGTTTGCAACATAAAATAATTTTTGCATAATATTAAATTTTCATTATATATTACACTTTAAAAAATAATTTACGAATGTGGTTGGCTTGTCATTGTCTCTACCCATAATAAATCAAATAAACCAAAAAAATTTAAAAAAAAATTAAATGGTCAAATTATAAGAGAAGGATAATTTGAACCATCTTTATCAAATAATACTACTGTTTTTTCAATTAAAATTGAAATATTCTACTATAAATTTATTAATTGATTTTATAATAATATTCCAATAAAATAAGTAGATATGCAATTGGAGTGGGTCTATATGGGCACATGGGGTATGGAGTAAAATTTTGAAAAGAACTAAAAGTGAATGAAATTTTTTGGAAGGATAAAGATAGGAGTTAGTGGGTGTTGGTAAATGTATTAATTTGATTGATAGTGTATAGTTCAGAATTTTATAAATTCAAAGTTAAATAGTTATTAGAAATTAGATGAATTCTTAGATTAATCCATCAAATTTTTATTGATTAAACCATTTATTTTTGCTTGTTTAATAAATTTGAAATAAAAAAAAGTAAAATAGCTAAGAATCCAATTTATTACATTAAAAGAACATTTCAGAAGTTAATTACATTCACACCTTAATACTTGAAGATGTGACTTGACTAAAATTGATTTAATTATGTATCACATACATGAATTATAATAATTTATATATTAAATAATTAAAATTTTAAAAAATTATATAAAAATATAAAGAGTTAAACCAAACATACATAGTGTAAGAACAAGCTTTACTTATAATATAAAAAAAAAAAAACTAAAAATATCTAATTATGACCCACCGCACATAATTAATTTTATATTATCTTCTTTGCTTTTTTTTTTTTTTATAAAATAATTATAATAATTGTTTTCAAATTAAAATTATATACAATACTTTAAAAGGTAATGAGTTATGTGTAGAGAAAAAAATTGGACGAGATAGTACAAATAGTTACATTATTATTAATTATAAAATAATAATACAATACGACGTCATTAATAATAATAACAATAACAATAGTCAGTTGTAAAGACGTACATAACTTTGATTTCTCACTAAATCATGTTTGGATTATCGTACAACAAATATTCTTATACCTGTTTTCGTTTAATTGTAATACTGAAAAAGCATATAAACAAGAAGATGTACAGACAACAAAACAAATTCATATCAAAATCAATGGCTCCACATTAATTGATTCTTTCGTGTACCGAGTTCGCTCGGAGGAAAAAAAGAGAAAGCTTCAACCAAAGGGATGATTAATAACTTGATCAAAATCAGACCCTTCTTTTCTTCACTTACTGACTCCTTGTTGAACTTTGAAAACCCAAACAGGGCCCTTTTACCTTAAAAGGAAATTTAAGCCCCTCACCAAGTCCTACACAGGAAAAAGGAGCAACACCCAGAAAATATAAGGTCCAAAAGTCCCTCCTTTTTTCATGTGTTGGACTAGATGAATTTGAGTGGTGAAGAGAGTTCAAGGTCCATAAAGTGGTGTTGATACTGACTGTAGATTCCCCTCCACCATGTTAGATTGATCACTGCAGTTCAAGTTGCAATCCTTCCACAATCATTACCTTTGTTAAAAAGCTGCCATAAGAAAGTCAGTTAACAAAATCACAAACCCAATTCATGATCTCGATACAGTGGCACAATGTGATGTCATCGAAAGGCTTCATCTCAAATTATGATAATAAGCACAGTAATATTCCATTGTAATTCAAGACGGTTCAGTAAATCAGAACTTGATAATTATATATGATTGTTTACTTTCTCTGTACACTGAATTGTAGGTTGTATGTGAAGCTTTAGGCACCCAAGAAAAGGACTTTAACAAGAACCTGTTCAACTAGTCGAGCTAGAAGATGTTTTATCAACTCAGGAATCGATTTCAGAGATATATATATATATATATATATATCCACAAATGTATAATTTGACATAGCAAATAATTATTTCAAAAGCACCAAAAATCTGAGAACTGCGTAGGCACCTTAGAAGCGCTAGTCCTCAATCGCATAGAGTCCTATATGATGCGCTTGCTTCATTTTTCTGAACTCTCTTGTAGATGCTGACCTTTGGACTTGATTTAATCTGAATGAGTTATCAGTGCCATTGTTATAGTTGGCAGCATAAACCTTCGAAGTTGGTAATGGTGGCCGATTCTTGATGCTTTTAACAGCATTTGGATGGTCTTGAGATCTGGGGAATATCTTTTGATGCGAAGAAGCAACTGGGGACAGTAATAGAGCTGGGCTCTTCACCCGAGGAGCAAAAGTTATACCAGATGATGTACTGCTAGCACTGCTACCCAGTTCTTGACTTGGCAAAATTGTTTTACCATTCATATCAGTCTCCTGAAATGACAAACATGAGGTGAATTATATACCATAGGAAAGGTGTTGGAATTAATGCATTAGCATCAGCAGGAAAACCACAGTTTTCTTCTCAGATGAATATAGAAACAACCAGAGTTGTTTTCTTGCTTGTAAATGTGACAAGCTGGAAAAGGCAAAACTTGCAGAGAAGCCCTCGAGTTAAATGCAATGTAGTTATTCTTTTCTCTGGAAGTGTTGATGGACTAAGCATTAAAGATTGCTTGCAAGTTGAAATTGCAGAGAAAGGAAAATGACAAGTTGACGTTTTACCTGAAAAGGAGATGCAACTTTCTCTTTCTGTATTTCAGCGGCTTCATCTTTTCTCCTGCCTTCCCGGTGTGTTCTAGACCGCCGTTTCATTCTCCTTTGCCTATTTGAAAAATTAGTGACATAATAAAATAAGAATGTGGAAACCAATTTAGTAAATTAAAAATAACAACTCAAACAGAAATAAAATTTGACTAATTGATGAGTGAAGAACAAAAATCTTGAGACAGAAAATGCAATGCTAAGAGCCAAGCCCAGAGAAGAAATTTGCAGTAGAATTCAACTGAAATGAAAGAACTGCAATTAGGAAGAAAAGAAAAAAGATGGTCCTGTCATCAAGCTAAATCTTGTAGTAAGTACAAATCTATATCTGGTTTGTACAGACATGATTTCCCATCTCATTTTGGTCTCTGTTCTCATTATTAAACTCACATGATAATATATCATATTCATTTTTGATCTAAAGCAATTAGACATGCCGAGCATGATTCCTTAGCTAAAGAAAAATTTTCAAATCAATGTTGTACATTACGCAGGAAAGATAAATTATGTCAAAGGGTGGTATTAACATTAGGTGTAGGTGTTAGCTCGTATGGTGTTTATTATTTCTTTTTCCTCAAGGTTGGGGATCAATATATTTATTCACTATTGCTCATGATAGTTGACTTACTGTCTCTGTTCCTTGGCTTGCATCAATTCAGCCTCTTCGTCATAAACTACAGGGAGTCCTGAGAGGTCACATGCCAACGGACTGGTATAAAAGAACTGCAAACAAAGAGTCTTTTTTCAGCACAAATTCAAGAATAAAAGTTATAATATGCAATTAATTTCTTCAAGCCTGACTAATATACTCTGTCACATTGAATATGATCTCTCATATTATCATTTCTGTTAAGAAGTACAAATTAGGACTTCATTAGAGTAAATAATATACTAGTCATTTATCCCAAGTCTCGGTAATATTTATGATTAATAATGTTTCCTTTCGTTATTGCTATTCACTTGTATATATAGGGTGTTAATATTCAAGAAACGATATAATGAATTCATTCACATGATATCAAAGCTTTAGATTAAGAAAATCCTAAATTCTTTTATATACCCAATTCGGCTTTCATTATCAAAATAAGAAAAATCTAAGAGGGTAGCCTTCATTGCCATCTCCTACCATCACCAAAACAGCCAGTCACCACAGACTGGCAACCAGCCACAATAACTGGCCTTCATTGTCGGTTCCAGTACCCAGCCGCACCTCAGTTGCACTTCATTGTCTAGGTCCTGTCTGGCCAGACCCCAGTCACTGTTCCCCTTGTGCACCACCATTGGCGACCCTGTACACAGATATTGTCTGGCCAGAATCAGCCCAGAAACAGTTGCACACCAGCCTGTGCGCCTTTGTTCCGGCCGCCAGCTGCATCTGCTCCCTGCCACATGTCTGCCTCCAGCTGGTTCTGGGTCACAGCCACCACTTAGCCATGCCACAACCGCAGACCTGTAATCTCTATTTTCTTGTCACTTTTAACCCCAAGTTTGCAAGTTACCGGTGGTTACTTCTCAATTCACCAACACAAACTTCCCTATGGGAAGCTCAGTAGAAAATAACAGTGAGTTTTAACCAATTCAGACTGCTTACTGCTTCTACGGTAAATATTACTTGAGATGGTCACAAGTAATTCAGACTACACTCAAGGATACGGGAAAGCTAAGCCATCTCGATGACATTGAAGCAAAGCCAGGAGATCTCAATTTTGATGCTTGGGTTGAAAAAGGCTTGATGTGATTGGCATGACTCTGGAACCCTATGATACTAGAGATTAGTAAACTAGTTATGTGTTTGTTTATAGCAAATGAGATTTGGAATTCGATCAAAACATATATTCCAAGAAAAAAGATGCAGCTCAGATAAATGACCCAACTATCAAGGCCTGGACAACTAAACAGGGCAACTAGACGGTAATAGAATATGCGAACCTTCTAAAAAGTATGTGGCAGGAATTTGATCAATATCATAGTATCACTATGGAAAGCAGTAAAAATGTGGTAATCTTAAAAAGATTTGTTGAGATAAATAGATCCTACCAATTTATGGCAGGACTTGGAGAAGAGTTAGGAAGACCACATCCTATTTATTAAGCACTGAAAGTCAGGGGGAATCATTATCCTCCTAGTAAACGTAGATGATATAATTGTTAAGGAACAATGAAGAGGAAGAAGTAGCTCTCAAGCAATGTCTGCCTAGAGAATTTGATATTAAAGAATTCAGGAAGTTGAAATATTTACTCAGAATAGAAGTGGCCTACTCAAAATCATGAATATTCATTTTCCCAAAAATATATGCCACATATTTGTTAGATGAAACTAGCAAATTTGTATGCAAGCTGGCTAGTACACCCATTGACCCCAATTATAAACTAGAACTGGCGGAAAAAACTTAAACGTGGACGAGGAAATGCAACAAATACTATTAGATATATTGATATGTTTGTCACATAATAGGCCAGACATTGCATATGCTATTAGAATTGTGAGTCAAATCATGCACAAACCTAAGAAGGGTACTTACAAACAGTTTACAAAATACTTCATTATTTGAAGGATACTCCAGGGAAAGAAATTATGTTCGAAAGAACAAATAGACTGTTTTTTTAAGCATATACTAATGCAGATTATGTTGGATCACCAGTTGACAAGAGATCCACCTTTGAATTTTGTATCTTTCTTCGAAGGAATCTAGTGACTTGGAGAAATAAGAAGCAGAATATAGCAGCCCAGTCTAAGCAGAGTTAAAAGAGTTATGGCCCAAAAAGTGTATGAGCTTCTACGGCTGAAAATCATTTTTGAAGATCTAAAGATTCAACGAGATGAATCTACGAGACTCTACTATGATAATAAGTTAGCGATTAGCATTGATCACAATCCAATACAATATGATAGAACTAAGTATATTGAAGTAGATAAACACTTCATCAAAGAGAAGCTTGATAGTGGGCTGATTTGTACTCCATACATACCAACCACTTCACAACTTGCCGATGTTTGACTAAAGAATTAAGTAATCATGTATTTCAGATGATTATTGCTAAGTTAGGAATAGATAATATCTATTCACCAACTCAAGGAGGAGCCTTAACAAGTACAAATTAGAACTTCATTAGGGTAAAAGGTATATTGGTCATATACTCTGGATCTTTGTTATCTTTGTAATCAATATCGTTTCCTTTCGTTATTGTTTTTCACTTGTATATATAGGTCCTTAGTGTTCAATGAAATACACAACAATTCATTCTTACACAATTTCAAATTAGATAGATACCAGCATAAAAGTCCAAGTAAAGAAACATAATCATTTAGCTGTAACTACAAGATTAAAGACTGATAATGGCCAACCTTCAAACTGCCTTCCTATATGAGAAGATAAATGGCAAGGATAAAGCAGGCATACAAGGTTCACACAGGGGATTCTGAAATTTTTGGTTTTGACATGATAAAGTTGCAAAACCGTTATCAAGAGAAAAAGGTAGACGCAAACCATTTCAAATGTGTATTAAACTGGCTACACAATCTTACTTCATTCTGGAGAGCTGAAGATGCACATCCACGATATGCAGGATCTAAAGCAAGAAGGATGCTGAGAAGCCCCAAAGAAGACTCGGGGAAGTTGCTGAAAGCTTCAAGAAGACTAGGTCTGTAAGACTGTGGTGGTCGAAAAGTTGTAGATAGTCTTAATTTTTTCCAATAATCCTCTGAAGGTGTGCCACATAACTTGAAAATTTTATGAAGTTGTTCAACCTGAAAGCAAAAAAGTTATTATCTAGGAAGTAAGCTACTAGCAGTAAGCTCTGAAACCAAATTTTGCAACCATTTCAAAAGAAAAAAGATCATTAAGATCAGCACTACTTTGCATATATGATAGAAATATGAAAAAACTGACTTACGATGATCCCTTGAATTCTCTTACCTCCGTTCGACCAGGCATGATTGGCCTCCCTGCAAGCATTTCTGCTAAAAGGCATCCAGCACTCCAGAGATCAATACCAACTCCATAATTTGTAGAGCCTAGCAAGAGCTCAGGGGCTCTATACCAAAGTGTCACAACTCGACTTGTGAGAACACGCTTCTGATTCGGAGAATAGAAATTTGCGAGTCCAAAGTCTGCAATTTTCAGCATCCCATTTTTATCTATCAACAGATTCGATCCTTTAATATCCCGATGTAAAATACCTCTCTCATGGCAATGCTGCAGACCTGATAGTAGTTGATGCATATAGCATTTTATCTGGTTGCATAATTCAAAAGACAACCCAACCAATGAGAAAAGTCAAAACTCTTGATTTCATGGGAGGATAAAAGAATTAGCTCCAACCTGTGGTAAGGTAAGTCCTTCAGGGCGGGCAACAACTCTTGCCAAATCTGATTGCATTAAATCGAAAACGAGGTAAAGACTATATTGCATTCTTGATGTGGCTAATCCTTCAAGCTTTACTATATTTGGATGATCCAACTTTTGCAGCATCATTATCTCTCTTGCCATAAACTTCACACTCTCAGGTTCTGATGTGTCAAAACGTACCTTCTTCAGAGCAACTATTTTGCCTGTGTCTCTATCCCGAGCTTTATACACATTGCTGTACGTACCCTGGCCTACCTATAACCAACAAGAATAGCAGAATTAGGCAAACCCTTTTTTTTTTTCTGTCAGCGACACTTTCAACTTATCAGTGATATAAAGTATTTCAGTTTTGCCTCAAAATGAATGTTAGAAGAAAAGGTAGAGTATATTAACTCGAGATCTTTATTTCCCATGACTACTGATTACAGTACAGCCAAGCTCGTGGTCATAATCAAGATGGGATTTAAAAACCTCCATAGGTTATGGAATTATACAAAATAAAGCATCAAACAGATTTTAGCATAAAGAATTTCCATCCGATGAACTTTCTGATCTAGAAAGATCTCCAAGAAAAGAGAAAACTGCTGGAATATTTCTTTAAGAAAGGCAACAAACTAAGTGAGAATATGCTGTCACATGCGACGTTTATATTAATTCTAATTAACCAATTAAGAAACAACTGGAGACTGGCAGCAAATCAAGAAGGAGAATACCTTGTCAAGTTTAACATAATTGTCCGCGCTTTTAGGAACCAAACCAGCCAAAACCTCTTTAGGAACATTGTCAACCAGCCATTTAGGCCACCCAGTAAACACCTCATCTGCACCATTCTGCACAGCAATGTTCTCAACAGTTGCACCAATAGTACTATTCCTCCCTCCTCTGCCGATCACCCTCTCTTCTTCTCCACTTCCATTGTCAAACCCAGCATTAGAATTCCTCCTCTGCGGCGGTTCGAGCCTGTGAAACCGATCCGGATGCCGCTGGCCAGTGGACCTCCTAGGCCCCACGAATCCACCTTTCCCTACATAACCATTATCCAATTTTAGCTTCTCTAACCCCCTGGGTGGTGAATTCGTTGAAGGTTTTGCTTGAACACAGCCCATGCCTTCGTGGGTCAGAGACAGTGAGTCTGTCCTCAGACTTCAAAAGAGAGTGATAATGGTGGACTTGTATGGGTAGGAGGAAAGAAAGAGAATCAAGAAGGAGAAGGAGAAGGAGAAGAAGACACTCGGCGATAGTGCGAGAAGAAAGAGAGAGAAGCGAAAGAGATGGTAGAGTAGAAAGAGCCGGCCTTGGCCTGCATCTTTGAGGTTTTGCTGCCTGAGAAAGGAACAAAGAAAGCATCTTTTTCCTTTAATTTTCTTTTTTGTTGTTTGATGATCATTTCTGTCTATCTTCTTTGCCATCTCCGCTAAAAAGCGAAAATGCACAGACAGAGAGTGATGGATTCTTGTTTCTTTTTAAATTATTTATTTACAGATTTACCTGTTCAGTCGATTTTTCTTTTGATCATTCTCTGCATCCGACTCGCGGGGAAGAGCGGTGAAAAGGGTAGCTGAAACGTGGAGATAGAGAGACAAAAAGAGAGGCGTTGGCCAATGGGATCTAAACACGTCGGACACTTCAGCTGATCGCGTGTGGAGGTGTGACGTGGATAACTGCTCAATTATATCTCGCCAGGTCATCAAAGGTCCACCACCGCAACTTTCAAATATCAAATGACAGTGAGTTTGAAAGATTGTATCCAAATTGCCAATCGCACCTGGTGGCATAAAACTTTGAATTAAAAAATTTAAATTTTTATGTCATCAACCCTACTTGAAATTTTTATTCTCTACTTAAAATTTATTGAATTTGAACTTTTTGAAAATATAAAATTTTTCTTTCATTTAATAAAATTTAAATTTTAATTTATTAACATGTTGATAAAAAATATTTTACATGAACCATAATTTTTTGAAAAAAAAATTATTTGTATTTAATTTTTTTAATAATTTTATTTAAAAATTACTCTTATATGTAAGAAAACATGGTAAAAGAAATTATTTTAAGAATTTTACACTCATTTTTTTAAGGTTAGTAAATTTATAGTTATATAGATTGATTTTATATTAACTTAATATTTAGTTAAATTTAATTTTAACTATACCTTATGCAATTGTAAAAACTGAATCGCAAAATGTAATTTAATAGATTTTTACTCCTATAATTAAAATTATAATTTTTTAAAATTAAACTATAATATGCATGAATTACAAGATTATATTAACAGTTCTTGATATTTGATACATTTATATATAAATTTTATCTGTAGACAAAATTATTTAAATTTTATATTTATTTTAATTGTTAAAGGTAAAATTTTATTATGAAAATAAAAATTAATATTTTTAATACTTTTTTATTTCATACTTAGTAATAAGTGGCTAAAGAGAGTTATCAATCACATAAATACTTTTTTTTTTAAATATTACATTAAGAGGATAAAGAAATTTTTTTATAAATTTTCAAAATTATTTTTAACACTTCCACTACTCTCAGTTATTTCTCTTTAGACATTTGTTCCCACAAATCTGACGGCCCTGATTTCCCAGCTCCATTACCAGACAAAACACCCGGGCACTAATGGCGAAGTCTACAGAAAACTCATCCCCTCAATTAATTGCGACTGGGTCTATACACTACAGGTAAGACAAGTGTTTATCACGGTGACTACAAAGTAGTCCATTCAAGGTTCGTGTCGACCCGATACCTGTCTTTGCTCCGCATACTACCCACCAAATCCACTTCCTTCCCAATTTTCTTCACTCACCACAACCATTGAAACCCTAGACATGACATAACTCAAGCTTCCCGAGGTTTCTCTCTCTGCGGTACGCTTCTCCTTCTCCTATCTTTTTCTTATTTTCTAAATATTTTCGCTTGGAGTGATGTTCATGGAATCCAAAATCAGAGAGGAATTGCGTACTTATGGTTAATCGATCTTCTTTTAACAACCCGCTTGAATTTGAAAACAATGCCTACTTCTATGTTGCTAGTAGCTGGAGCTCATTCGACTTTCTAGGCCTAGTTAGGAAAAACAGTACAGAATTTTCATTTTTTTTGTTCTGTGTAATCTTTACGAGTTTTGAATGCTTCATTTTTCGAGCATTTCTAGTCATCCATGTGAAAAAAGAAAAGGAAGAAACTCTCACTGAACGCTAGTTCTTCTCATATTCAGGCTATGAACTTTAGGGTTTTGACTTAGTTTACAGCTAAATCCAAGCTTATGACTTTTAGTTCTGGTATCTGATTTTCTGAAGCCTCGTGGGCTTAAGTTCTGCACCTGGCAAACCCCTCCAAAGGGGAAGAATCTATTTATATTATTAGCCTGTGCGTATAGATTTTCATAGTTCTAGAATTAAACAACAAAAAAAGAAAAAGAAATGAAACCTTTTGTTTTCTGAAGTTCAATTTAGTTTGTGTTCAACGGAATTGGAAGTGATATTAGTTGGCTGCTAGACTTGGATGAATCTATGGCTTGTGCACTTTTTCCGTCTGTGGAGAAATCTCATTTGTTTCCTATTTATTGAAGTTCTTAAAGGATTATTATGCACATTACTGGCACTAGTTGTATAAATATTATTCTGTGGTTAAAATCGATGTTTGGAGTCAACTATGTATCAATAGATGTGTGATTTGCTGGTGCCCTGCAGCATCCATTGGTTCAATTGAGTCACATGATGTATTTGCATAATGGAACATAAGGATGCCTAAGTAATTCATGGAATCCATTGTCACCCAGCCAAAGTAGGATAAATACAATGCTAACTCCACGTGGACATCGTGTATAGTCTTTTCATGTATATAAATTGTTCTGTTTTCATTTGGCACGCAGCCGAGGAAAATTACTTTAGTTCCATGTTCATGCTCCTTTTTCTTTTTTTTTTTTTTTGGAGAAGTGAATTTGTTTTGGCTGAACTGGATTTTGTCGTATTTTGAAAACAAAATTCACTTACTTAACCGTACCATTATAGAAGAAATTTGGTATCATTGTGGTATAGTCTTGTGTTTGATAATTAAACAGGACAGATTTCAAATGTTGCCTAGTTAAGCCTGACTTCAATATTGTTGTACCCACAAGTCGTAAAAGACCTCTTTTTTCTCTCTATTGCAGCAAGCTTCGATATTTGCAATGTGTCACTACCACCTATCGGAGGATGATTTACCTCAAAATGAACATTATGCACGGAGGAATGGAAATGGAATAGAGCATGTGGAACTAAGGTGGGAAACCCAGATAGCATTGTTGGAGGAGCGAATATCAAGGATTGAGGCTCGAGTTGAAAGGCTAGAAACGACAATGTTATATTTGCAGAAATGGATGCGAGTACTATCTTGTTTGCTTTTGCTTACTCTTGTCTATGCTATATGTAAATGAATTCCCATTGAAAATTTGTTTTAGGTGCAGTGTTTGTATTGCTTGTAATGTACTAGATGTTAGGTAGGTATGTGACAGCATTTGTGGATTGCTGTACTTCAAAATAAATTTCAGGGAGTCAACAAAGTTAGCAATAGGAAAAAGAAAATTGTTGATAGATCTTTACTCTGTTACAGAGGTGAAGTCTCATGTTTTATTGAATTAATGGGAGAGAAACAACTAATCATAATGCTAGAATTTATCGTGTTTTTCCTGTATCTTTATGGTAGAATATCACTTATTTACAATTCTCTTTACAAAGCTTAGTTTGTAAACACAGAAAGATCAAGTTTGTGCAGCCATAATAATCCTGACTAGCTGGTAGTTCAGTTGTCGGAACCGAAACAAGAGGATAATCGGAAATAGTTAACAAGTATCAGCTACTTCAACTAGCAAAGTGGAAGGATCTGAGATCTATTACTGCTTACAGCCCTTCGTGAAATTCATGAGGAAGCATGTAATATTTCTAGTCTCTAGATAAATTGATTGTTGTTTTGACACCGCAAACACTCCATTATCACTTGAATAGACAGTGCCGGGTAAGTTGCATCTTAAGATGCTGATGATGGATGATGGATGTTAGATTGCAGTATATGTAATACTATTTTTAAGTTTTTGAAAGAAGTGATTACAGTTTATTATTCAACAAGTAAATTGCTCTATAATTACACCAAGAAGCAGGAAAAATTGAGATCCCAAACAACTATGGAGCTCATAGTCCGCCAAATATATGAACAAAATAGCAACCTTATAAACTTGGGAATGAAAAGAAGAGTGAAGATCAAAGAAATTACAGAAGTTGTTTGGGATCTCAATTTTTCCTGCTTCATGAACAAAATAGCAACCTTATAAACTTGGGAATGAAAAGAAGAGTGAAGATCAAAGAAATTACAGAAGTTGTAGAGTCAAATCATTGGATTTGAATAGAGTAAATTACAAAAAGTAAACAGGGTATGGAGAAAAATTAAGGAAGAAGAATCATTCAATATCTAATATCCCGAAATTGGAGAGAAGGATCTTTACTTGATCAACAAAGTCTGAGCCTGTTGCATACTCTGTTAACATCCCAACAGCAAAGCCAAACATTGCCCATCTACTCAAACAACACCAAATTACCGATTCAGCCATAACCATATACAACTCATATGTTTATACATTCAGCAAAATGTAAATGTCAATGTTTAAATATCAAGAAAAAAATTCCCAAGTAGTTTTGCCATACTAATGTCTAGGAAATTCGGGAGTCCATAAGTTTGGTAAAATGTTGTTGGATGATGCTTCTGTTTTGAGATAAATTCCCAAACGTTGTAAGTAAATAGTTGATGCTTTATATAGGAAAGCATTAAAGCTATATGAACATCAGTCTCTTGCCGAGGTAATTCCAGATTAAAAGTTTCTTAATAATTCATCACCAATGTTAATGATTTCCAAATTTATCATCTACCACGATTGTTCATACTATATTCAATTTCCAACTATAATTACCACATATATGATAAGAGAAAAAGAAAAGTTATTAATCATTAATTATAAAAATTTATAGTTAATTATTACCTTCCATTGGCAATCTCATTCTTCCCAACAAAGCCAAAGAAGGGACCTTGATTTGCCTCCTCAAGCTTCTTCTCTTTAAAGTACTCCTGCAACTCCTTCGCCTTCTGCCTCTGAAACTCCAACGTTATCACATTCTTCTCCTCCCCAACCGCCACCGGAGCCGGTTTAACAGCCGAAGAAGAAGAAGGTGACGGCGGAGAAGGAGGAACTGGCTTCAAAGGAGGCGATGGCGACGAAGGTTCTCTAAGAGGAGGCGCCACAGGTCGTCTCAAAGGACCTTCTGTTTGGGAGCATCTTATAGTGACGAGATTGTAAGAAGGCTTTCTGATTGCGGAGAATCTGAAACAGGAAGGCGAAGCTGATGAAGAGGAAGGTGAGGAAGAAGACGACGACGATGGATTTGGGATTTTGATGCGTGGAATCGAGGATGCCACAGACATTTTAAAAAAAAATTTTAATCTGCTCTGCTTCTCTGCTCCCTGCGTGTTCTTAACTTTGTGTTTGGGGTTTATGGGTGTTGAATTTGGTGTGTGTGGATGAGGCGTGGCCAAGTTTCAGAGAAGAGGTGGCTGCTAATCACGACGAACAGCAATTAAGACATTACAGAATCGGGAGTTGAGAGCGCGTGAATACACGTGCTTCCACTTATAAGAGGTCTAATGTTTATCCGTCCTCGACGCGCTAGGATTTTGAGTGGCGGGGGGAAGTTATTTCTTTTGTATAATTGGATATACTTCCCCTTTTTTTTTTTTTCTTTTCCTTTTCTAATTTTCTTTCATTGTATTTTTTGAGTTTTTATATAAAATTTAACAGTAGTACTTTTTCCATCTTCTTTTTATTTTAAGCAACATGTAATTTTATATTGAAATTAAACTAAGAGATTATAACATATTAAACTTTAAAGAAGCAAATTAATCAACAGAATGTAAATTTGAAAAAGAAAATACCACCACGTCCTACCAAAAATTTGAAAAAAAAAAAAAAAAAGAAATATGAACCCAGAAATTACAAAATAAATGTGGCTAAACAGACATATCGAATTGCTTGTGTTGATGGGAGTCGGTAGTGGCCATCTCCACAGATGGTTTTTGCAGAGGTTGACTGTTCTTGTTCTTGTGGTAAATGAAGTATAAGATCAACTGCATTATCCCCAATGCACATCCAAGACCATTCGGTATCTGTACAACCAATCTCAGTTTTTTAGTCATATATATCTATCATGAGTATGAATAGGCAAATATTATGAACTAAAACCTAATAAATTCAGTTACTTTAGTCAAACCCACTAGACCCACAGAGAAATAAACTTGGAAATATTCCTTTGATTCTTCTTAGATTGAATATATTGATTATGTGTGTACATATATATACATTACCAGTTGTAGAGGAAGAAGTACACTTACAGCGACAAAAGGATCATGACCAAGAAGACCATACACGAACCATGAGGTGCCGCAAAGGAAGACAAAGAGTGATAAGAAGAAAGGCATGAACTCCACACTCTTCGTTTTAATCACCATCCTCTGCATACATTATATATATATATATATATCATTAGATATACAAAAACTTGATGAATCTAGTTGTAACTAAGAGAAGATAAAAACCGATACAATTTGTATTAAGCACTCACCATAACAGATAGAGGAGCGGCATACATAGCAGTGGAGAAAATGGTAAGAGCAAGGCCACAAAGTAGTTTTCTTGGGCTGCCGTCAAGAACAAATAATGATATTGAGGCTAGAGCAGCAAATACAGCTAGCACAAGCACTAGAAGCCCAAATATCTTAGCCTTCTCCTTCTTCGGAGCAAATATGAGAAACAACAATATATAAATTGCTTCTATCACTGTTCCCGTCCCGTTTATCGTTGCTACCAAAATGTTATTTTTCGATATGAACGGAAGACCATACCTGTTGAATCAGTTGTTAGTCTTTGTTCAAATTCTGATTATATATAATGCAAATATGATAAAACTTTAAATTGGAATAGTACTATGAATTATTTATGTAAAGGAATGAATCAAGATGAGTTACCAGGCGGCAAAGAGACAGTTGAGCAAAGCCATTACGTAAGGAATGCCTGAGAATTGCTCTGTAGACTTATTCTGCATGATCCTCTTGAATGTGATCCTATTACATGCATGCAATCACACATTTAACTGGATTAGTTAATTTCTAACTTATCTATATAAACATTAACTAGAAACTACTAATTACAATCATTAACTTGTAAAAAACCTTTTTGTAGAAAATTAAAAGAGAAGAGTAAAACAAGTTCTAAAATTGGCACGACACACACCTGCCAAATCCGAAATTTAAAGGGAAGAACCCACATGGGTTGATAAGCCCAATTTTTGAGACATGGTTTTTTTTTTTTGTTGATAAAAATCACATGTTTATTCTTTCTTCCTCTTGTGTGAAAAAGAAAATCTTAATGTTATCGAATAAATTAGGGTAAAATTCAGATTTCATATGATAATTGAAATAATGGAAAATATGAGGGTGATTAATGCAAACTTTTGCTATTTATAAGCTTCAAAAGAGAAGAAGATAAAGATAACTTGTATATTAATATCAGATTGGAAAATTTTGTAGTTAGAAAATTTAAATAAGCAATCCTAACCCTAAAGTTAAAAAACAACAGCAAAGATAAAGACAAATATTAAAAATATATATATATATAGATTTTATGTGTTATTTAAATTACATTTATATATTTAAAAAATTTTATATAGATAATCTTACGTACATATATTATTTGAAATATAAATAGACAACTAGAATTATAACATTAAAGATAAAAACAAATACTAATACATATATATTCAATTAACAATTTCAAATTACACTTTTAAAATTTTAAAAAATCAAATCCATACGCATTAAGTAATTAAGATTTTAAAAAGTGAATGAAAACAAATTTGATCTGGATTAAAGAAAAAAGTAAAGCAAAGTATGATATTTGAAGGTGCATACGTCGGAGCCAAGAAGAGGAAAAGAGCAGTGGCGTTTCCTGCGTAAATATGAAACGTTAAACTCAAAATACTGCAACCAGAAAGAGAAAAGAAAAGGAAAAAAGAAAAAGAAGGAAGACTCACCAAAAATACCAAATACAAAACGCACAGTATCCATCTCTGAGAAACTCAAGAACTTAGCAGATCACCAAAACCCTTCTGCTAGCAATATGGCAGTGACGTATCAGCAGAATAAAGGTGGTTTATATAGACTGTTCAACAGGGATACGAAACAGTAGTAATGAAGATACTATAAACTAAAAACTAAAACAGTACTTACCTCACCCCCCTCATAGTTCAAGCCTACCGCAACTGACAATTTCTAGAAATACATAATCCAGTTTGTTTCACACCAAAACTTTTAAACTAATACTTCTTACCCATTCATAAAATTCAAAAAAATAATATTTATAACTTGGGTTTACCTTAACGCTCTTACTATAGGCGTTTGGCAACCGAGAAAAAAAAACAAAAGAAAACCACTTTTCTTGAATTTTTAGAGAAAAAGATTGAATGATTTTGAGTTTTAGAAATCAGAAACTTACCTGTTGAATTGTGGGATGCTTTCTTTGAATGCTATCTGATCCAATGAAAACTAAAAACTAATGCCTCCACTTGTTTTGCGTTTGCCCGTCCGCCCCCAAATATATATATACTTAACCCCATGTTGTGTAGGTAATACAACTTTTAATCGGATACAATTTGGTAACATCCGCATATATATATATATATATATATATATATGTGTATTACTAGAGTTTTTAATCATATAGGTAACATAACTTTTAATTGGATATGATTTCGTAAATGTCCAAATAGATTTATATATAGCATATATTAAGTAATGTATTATTGTTTTTATATTTAGGTAGTATCTAAATTTAAATAATTTATATATATAATAGATACTAAATATTAAATATAATGGAATAGATAGTAGACAACATAGTATTTTTTTTTTATATTGTCATGGTATTTGAATTCTCATCGTCAAATAATAAAACATTATTTTAAAAAATAATAATAAGATAATGGATTTATGTTTTGTTAATATATAAATTTTCAATAAATAATTTATATATTTAAAAATATTTTAAAATATACTATTGTGATACATGACAACTATCGGTATTATATATATATATAAAAGATTGCAATTATTTCTTTTACTTAATTATAATCTTAATTACGATAAAGCATAAATTATGAATTATAAGTTAGAGTTTGGTATATACATAAATCTATTATTCCTCTAAAATATTTTTATTAAATTATAAGTATATTATAGGCAATTTTGAATTTTGTTAATGAGAATTAAATAAAGCTTCCTGAATATTTTCTTTTTTCTTCACCAACTCTAGGTAATTCTTTGGGTAACATATCTATAAATACCATTATAAAAGTATTATATAAAGTTTTCATATAGCTTATAAATCATGTAGCATATAATAACTTAGCTTAATTACCAGCTAAAAATTAAATCAATCGTTACTTTTAAGATGATGTGTAAATCATAATAAATAAAAAAATAAAACTACATTAAAAGATATCAACGTATAATTTCTAGCCATATACTAAGAGGGCAGATATATTTAAAAGTAATCAATATAATGCTACTATATATATACATACATACAATGCGATTTATCATCATTTTTATTTTGACAGTTACTTATTTAATTATATAATAAAAATATTATATCATTCAAATCAAGTACTATAAACTGTAATATAATACTAATAGTAATTCAAGTATATGTATTTGTTGATAGAATTAAGCACGTTTATATATCCATAAGGTGGCGGCTAACTCGAATAAGAGAGAGATTGACAGGAACAATGAACGAACCACAGAGACAAAATTGCCAACTTTCTTGATTATGATTTTCCCAAACCTTTTAGCTGAAAGTGAGTTTAGTTTTCTCCTTCTTTTTTCTCGAGAAAAGAAGTTGACGTAAGTTGTGAAAGCAAATTTGGAATCAAAGCAAATATACATATATATATATGTATATGTCTCTTGTATATATATACACAAATGTTCCAAGTTATATGTATACACTTGAAACTCATCAATAATTCCTTAGTTGAATTGGGAATCTTCACTATATTATACATATATGTTACATTATACACACATGGAACTCACCAATGATATATATATATATATGTATATATAGAAGTCAGTTTCCTGTTAAGCATTGGAAAATGACGATTTCAAATATCATCAACCTATTGGATATAATAAGAGAAATGAAACTTAACATGCACATCATGTTACCTTAATCACGCTTTTCTACGGACTTCCCCTTCCTACCGAACCGACAAATTCTTTACCGGAATTTAGTTAGTCGGTCACTTCAATACATTATTTATAATTAACAAGGAATTATCATCTTCATAATACATATAATTATATATTTAAGCAAAACTCCCAAGTCATATATATGATATGATATAAAATCATATACTTTATATAATATCGTTCATAAATTTACATTAAGTATTTTATAAGAACTAAAAATTGAAATATTTTTATATATTTCAGGAGTTTGACCAAAAAAAAAAATTTAAGATTAACTATTTAATAATTATCTCCTCAAAATTTTAACTTATAATATACACATTATACTAAGTTAACACATTCTCAATGCAACAAACTAAAATAATACTGAAATTTATTAGTTTGCGAAAGCAATTTACTAATTTTGAGTTATATTCATTGCACAATTTAATTGAAATATCCAATAATATTATGAGAATATCCCTTAAAAAATTTAAAAGATAAAAGAAAGAGAAATGCAAACTGAAAACCTATGCGATCAATCTCTGCTGCATAATTGAAAGAAGTGGGAGACAATCTTTTGCTAATTTTTTTGTTGTTTAGAATCCGAATCTTGATCGTCCTGATATAAAATAGTTAATAATAAGAGGATGAACTACACTAACTCAGTAAGAATATCAACACTTTACTACCGATACAGAAAATTAAAGATTTAGGGTTCTGGTATGGCAGCGCCACCGTGCTCCAGTATCTACAGCGGTTTCCCCTCTTTGTTAGGCTGGTTTTGGCCAGTTTTGTGCGAAAACCTACGAAATTTGGCGTTAGGTGGCCTCTATTGGTGGAAAAAGGAGAAAAACCAAAACTTGTCGACGGTTTGGGGTTTCCAGTGCGGCGGCTCCACTGTTCCTTCCTCGCAGTCATGGTTTTCCTTCGGTTGCCCTGCACCAGAACCACATTAGACAACCAATGGTCGAAAAATAAAAGAAAATAGTAAAAGGATTCGGGCTTACTGTATGGATTTTTTGATTTTGAGTGCGGGGACTTGGCCGAGCTTTGTCCTCCGTTTCTGGCTTTTCTTTTAGTTTTTCAGCGCCAATAAGGGTTTGGAGTGGTTTAACATTGAGAAACGGAGCGAACTGGAAGAAAAAACTCACCTTCCGGCGTCGGTAACTCGTTACAGTGCGGCGGCGACGACGGTCGATCTTCTTTTCCGATGACTAGTTTACTTTCAGGTCGCCCATCTTCTTCTTCTCAGGTTCTCTTTGGCAGCTAGGTTTTTGGGGGTCTGGGTGGACAGGTTTAAATACCTCTCCGCTTTTGATTTGAGCCGTTCATTCAGAGCTGCGTGGCTCAATCTCCACTATAAGATCTGACTTATTTGAAAAATGAATCAGAGCCATCCGATTGAAGGTACGTAAACCGTTCGATTGCGTTTGAAGAAAAAATAAATTTGGGGTGTTCGTGCCCGCAGGAGTGAATCCAGACAGTTAGACTGGTTGGCACGCGGATTGTCCGTGTGGCCTCTCGCGTGAAACGTATATCCACGTGTCTACCACGCGGTGTATGACGATTGGTCGTACTGCTGACGTGGCCATCCAGCGTAATCAATTTTTCATTTTTTGCACTTTTGCCTTAGTTTTCAAATTTTTATTTCATATAGATCATTTCTTATTTTCAGTTTACCCCAACTTTAGAAAATTATTTTTAAATACATTCAAAATATATATTTCTTCAAAAATTAAAAAAAAAATTAAAAAAAAATTAAAATTATTATTAATATTTAGTCATCCCGAGCCTAAATCTCAGGCTCGGGGTGTTACAAGAAGAGTTCTCTATACTGCAGTTATTTCTGCAAAGGCTTTCGATATAGTTAGTTTACAAAGTAATAAATTATACTAATTTAACTAATGAACTAAATGAGCTAATAATAATGGAGAGAGATATATATATATATATATATATATATATATAATTGTTATATATAGATATATATTGAGAGATAGAGTAATTTTATTGAGGAACTTTCAACAACTCTTTCTAAATAATTGTTATATCCCTATTTTTATATCATGTGTATTATGTGTTTGAATTGAACTGTGCATTTTCATAATTGGTACAAGTTAATGTTGTGATGATTGCGTATGTGTGAATTAATAGAATATATGTATCTCTACTAAAAAATTACTATTGACGTAAAAGCATAGTCTTTTAGGCAAAAAAGAACCCTAGCCACTAAAATTATTATGTTCAAGCAATATCATATTCATTCTCAACTCCGAACTTAGATAGTGTTAGCATGGTAAATAGATAATAAATCAATGGTGTCTACTAAGTAGATTACATGGTTGTAAAGTCTTGATTTTGGGTCTTCATTAATTTATTTATTTTTATCTTGACTTGATGTATATTTTGGGGAATTCTTTCCAAGATTTAAGGATTTTGTTGTATGTAATTTAAGGTAAGAACTCTAATTAGTGTATTGTATTAGATCTTACTTGTTGTAAGTCTAAGCAGTAGTGAAACTTTTTTATTGTAAGGTAAAATTTTTTTTACTTATTAAATAAATGACCTTAGGTCGTCACTTAGTCTTTCTTCTAAAGGCTTAAGTTCATTTTACATGTTATTTTACTATTATTTTTTCAAAATAAAATTTAATTAAAAACTAAATATTATCAATATCTCTAGCATACTAGGGTCAATACTACTGATGGGTGATCAAGATGTTGGCAGTCAAGCGTTATTGAGGTTTTCTCCAAGTATTTCTTGACATCTTGGAGAAAGTAATGAGAAAAATCATTACATCATATTGAAGCGAGAATAACATTAAAAATAAAAATATTCATAAATCGAGAAATATTATGCACGATTTCTAACTAAATTTATGGAAGGTAAAGTGGATAAAAAGAATGTGGTATTATCATTTGTGTAGCCTATAATGTCATAAATGTAAAACACCACAAGGAATTATGTGCACCAAGTAGGATAATTTCTTGAAGCTTCTTTGATGTTGTGGATGAATGTTAACTACTCTACAAAGATGGAGAAGA